AAGCTAACCACCTCCTTGCAGTAGCTTCATATTCAACAGACACACATGAGTGGTATCGATCTTCTTATCTAACTGTAAGCAATAAGTATGATAGTATTTCTTAAATCAGATTATCTAAACCACTTAATTAATAAATGAAAATATGGCCCACGTTGTAATAAACCGGAATTATCCTTGAAACATCAAACACATACTGCAAATAACTTGCATACATTTGCAGACACACACACACATAAAGCACTTGGCACTGAACCACGTGAATCCAGGCAAAAAGCAGGTGCTCACTCAGTCACGTGCAAGTACTCAAACATAACACTAACCAAACACACCCCCCGCGCTCACATGCATGCACCCTATTGTCATACTCCTCCGCTATGCATGCACAGTGTGCTGGTGGCACAGGTCCGGATGTTGCAAGTCAGACAGGCTTGGAGGTCCGGCTCAAGAGGTCTGGAGGTCCTCTGGGGCAGGAGAAGCCATTTCCTCCCCTAAGCGGAGCGGGGAGCAGCAGCGAGGGCTGAGGAGGATGGTGGTGGTGGTGGTGGTGGTAGTGAGGGGGAGGATGCTCTCAGCAGAGAGGAATTCCTAGAATGTTGTCCTTTAATCTGGAGTCAGCCTCACACACACTCTGTCTCTCACTCTAACTCTCTCTTCTTTTTTTTTCTCCCTCAGCTTTATCTGACCTCCTCTGGCTTTTCTGTTACTATGCGGAAGGGAAGACGGGTGTCAGATAGGATGAGACAGATTGAAAATGCAAAGCAGCTGACCTAAGAGCAAAACACTGTATTGCACAGTTCAGAGCTGACTCGCTTGCTCTGTTTCTGATTGTCCTACATACTGTATCTGTCCGTATCTCTGTTTTCTTGCAGCCCGTACAGAGGAGGGAGATCAGGAGTGTGTAAGGGAGGGATATGTGAAGCAGAACAGAGAATGAGAAGGGTGAGAAAGAGACTAAGGAAGAAGGAATGCAAACGTGGTCGGAAGAAGAGGAAGGAAAAGGACGACAAAAAAAATCTCTGAACAACATTGCAATTGGGGAATGTCCTTTTTCTTTTTACAACAGTCTGTGTTGTTATAATCATCTCCATGAAAACAGTTATTAAGTTGCGTGAATGTTCGTTTGTCAGACTAAAAGTTTTGAGATATTTTGCATAACAGACTTGAGACTTAACTTAATACAGAGACATTTGAGTATTTTATGGAGAGCGTGAAGCTGTGTGTGATCAGAATGCATTCATGGATATTACATGCTCTCCAACTGTTGTATGTAGACTTTACTGTGTTTCAGACATGTGTTTTACAGACTCATGAGCTTATAGAAACAGACATAGAAAGGGGGGCTGTTTCATAGGGAAGGAACAAGAGATTGTAGGAGAGCGAAAAGAGGCTAGGGATAAAAAAGGTAAAGAGGATTGCTGAGTGGAAAGGGGTGCTAACTGTGGACTGTTTGCTGCAAATCACAGTTTAAACCAGCAGGGTATTGAGTAATTGATTTTAATAAAATGCCTGTGTACTTTAAACCCTGATATAGCTTATTAATTTGTGCCTGATGCTGTGAATACCGACTAGCACAACAAATGCTGACAAAAAGTCAGTCTTAAGCTAAAAATAGTCCCTGACAAATGTGAATGAAAAGCATTTACCATGCAAATGAGTATAAAAAAATCAGAGTAGGAACAAACGCACACGGACTAGGGAAGTTGGAAATTATTGAGGTTTTTTTTTTTTTCTTCATGGTATTCATTGACAAAAAGAAAAATGAAGAATAGTGGCAGTCTTACCCTTTAATGCAAAAATAGAATGAAAGACCCCCTTAGCCCTGCAAAAACTGTTTCCTACAGTGCAAAGTTTCAGATTGCAATAAGCCTTAAAGCATCTATATCTTCCGGTGTGTCTGTGAGTGCATGAATGTGTGATATACATGTCTTAATCTGCAGTTGTGGCCGGGTTTTCGAATAACTTCGTGTTGCACTGAGGCGGATATACCCCGAGCTGTAGGTCTGTGGTTCTTCCTAGAAGGCTCTGTGTGTGTGTGTGAGTGTAAGTGTAAGCAGTTCATGTAAGCCCTGACTTTTGACTCTGCAAGGCTACATGCAGTATACTGGAGTTACTTGCATTTGTGCATGCAGCTGCAAGAAGATGATTGATTGGTCACGTATGCATCCATCCACATTTTAAATGTGTTTGAATGTTTGATGGTTTTAGCAATGCCATGTCTTGGTTGGTAGGGGCCAATGGAGATGTGATAAACTCTAACTAGAAATCAAGCTGTACACTTCCATATAACTTCAAGTTGAAATCAAAGAAAGTTCAAAATAATTCCTACAAAAATGAATGCAATGCAACTTTTTATTTTCCCAATCTGTAGAAATCTCAATGACATTAAGTTGCCTGACTATATGTGCAGCTGTGCGACTTCCATTCATGCTTTTCTCTGAGGTTTCACTGTTCTAAAAATCTTCAATGACCCCAACAGTCAGTCTGTTTATTCTCAGCATATGTCTCATTTCTGGTCACGTGGCTCCACCAACACGTCTCAGCCAACTAGCCTCAACTTCCTCCCTATTTCCACTGAAGCAGGAAGCAGGAGATGAGAAAGTATCACACATCTGCAAAATGCACCCCCAGCTCTATTAATAGTGTCATTCAGTTTAGAAGCAAAAATGTGACCACATTTTTTATTCCTCTTATCAGTCTCTGTTGACTGCCTTGCTAAAGAATTCCAGCTTGGGGTAATGTTTGTTCACTCAGTAACCAAGACTTCCCCTACATGTTACAATTATGAATAACGATGCTTTCTAATGGAATACTTATGGCAGGAGGAGGCAGATAATGAAATATTGCCCTGCAACTTTTAACTAAACTAACCATTCTGAATGGTTCTTAAGCCATTGCCAAATTACATGAGTTGGTTGTAATTGACAGCATATTGTGAGAAAAGTTTCTTTGTCACCAGTGGCTTATCTAATTCTTAAATTTTATATTAGTATTACTATATTACTCTTTCTAAATCTTATTTGTTTACTGTCAAATCATTAGGGCAGACAGTTGCAAATGACTTATATTGCTTTTTCTAATAAAATATCTAATTTTATAATAAGAAAAGGACTGAAGAAACCTAGTAACAAACAGTTAGACAACTTTTATTACACTCACCAAGACTAAGGGTCTGCAGCGATGGTTGCAGCTTTGTAAGGCTTAAACACAGCTGTGCTTTCAGTAAAATGCTAACATCAGCATGCTAAAATGCACACCTGACTATGCAAACATGCAATAGTATGCTAACCAAGAGGATGCACATGGCAAATATTACCTGCTAAACAACAGCAACTGATGGGAATGTCATTAGTTTTGCAGGTATTTGATCATAAGGGATCACCAAAGTCAACTGAACTCTCTTCTACAGATATTTAAGATCTTTATAAATCACAAATGTGAACATCATGCTGATGCTATAGGACAAATCAAGGAGGATAATCAAAAGTCTGCTCTGGAGACCATGAATGCCATATATCAAACTTGATAGCAATCCATCCGATCATTTTTGAGATACTTTAGTCTGGAACTAAATTCTGGACCGACAGACCAACATTGACATCCACAGAGCCATGCCGCTAGCATGGCTAAAACACAACTTTCTTTGACCTATGGAAATTATTTCAGCCAAGGGTGAACAAGTGAAATCAGCCATAGATGTGTTTTGGACAGGATTAAAATCACTGATACTGACATCGTCCAACCTCCCCCAGTGTGAAAGACATCTTGTCTACAAACCATAAGGTTACTTGGCTGCTGACTCAAAGTAACTTCTCAGGGGGCACTTGAGCACGTAAGCAAGGACCCGATTCACTTTTTAATGGATCATATTTTGGCTATCTATATCCTTCGAAGATCATTGCTCTCATATTACACCTACGGGCATGTGGATAGCATCTAAAAGCTCAGGGTAACGTTTCCAAATACTCCCACAGAGAGCCCAAGCCAGCTAATAAAGATATCTAGGTGACACCGCACTCCTTTTGCTTACAAACATTCGCCTCAGACTCTAAGATCCCGATAAGCACTCTGCAGTGCCTGAGCGGGGAACTGCAGCCAAAAGCTGTTGGAAAAATCTGGAGTTTAGGAAAGCACCTGGAACCAGTCCACTCTCTTACTAGGGGTCACTGAGTTTTGTCTGGAGGCTTTCCCTACTGTAGCTGTTAACAATGCCTCTGCTTTCCTGCAGGCTATAGCCACACACACACACACACACACACACACACACACACACACACACACACACACACACACACACACACACACACACACACACACACACACACACACACAGGGATAAATTTGGAAACCATGCTCAGTGTGAAGTGGCACAAAATGGCTGCTGTTATACCTCAGGTGGGTGCAGTGTCGCTTGATGCAAGACAGGAAGAGTTGGGTGTGGTGGTTAATATCTATGATCGTTGGCCCGTTATCACTTCCCATGCACGACACATCTGCCAGCTTTAATCCAGTGAGACACTGCATTGTTTATTTTAATGAGTCCTACTGCATATATACACACGCACACATATGTATATACAGTATTGTGTGTCCCTGGTGGATTGCTGTGGAAAGACTGTGAAGTGGGTACACCAAAACGGGAGCAGGGAGATGTGCCCTGCCAGATATGATTTCATGTCTTACGTAAGCCTGAGATGGGGGCAGAGAAGTATTAACCCTGTGTGTGTGTGTGTGTGTGTGTGAGTGTGCGTGTGTGCGTGCGTGTGGGTGTGTGTGTGGGTGGGTGGGTGGGTGGGTGTGTGTGTGTGTATGTGTGTGAGTGAGTGTGTGTGTGTGTGAGAGAGAGAGAGAGAGAGAGTGTGTGTGCGCGTGAGCCCCCACCCCCTAGATGGTGACATTTACTCAGCGCTGGCAGGTAAAACTGCATGCAAGAAATTGATTTGTGTCCATGCGTCTTTGTATGTTTAACCTTTATTTTCTGACTGGATTTGTGTGTGTTGTAGGTGGTGACACTGTGGTACAGAGCCCCAGAGGTGCTGCTCCAGTCCAGTTACGCCACGCCAGTTGACCTGTGGAGTGTTGGCTGCATCTTCGCTGAGATGTTCAGGAGAAGGTGAGAGGTGCAGAGAACACAGAGCCAACTTAGGATCTGAAAATAAAGGGAAAAAACACCATTATTCTAGCCTGATGATAAGACTTATTATTTTGGTATCTAACCAACCAGTAGTTAGTCACATATCCAGTTTCAATTAACACATTTAGCATTTTCAAAGAGTTTTAGCCCTGATTTTGGGACAAATGCTTTTCTTTGTACAAAATACAGTTAATCTTTATGGATTATATTGATGCCGAATTGACATGAAGACTATTGACAAATTACTCACTTTAACTTGTCTACGGCTACATTTTGTTATGGACAAGCATAAGCAATTGTTAAAATGTAATATTTCTCAAAGGGAGTTTGGCACAGGGAGCATTTAGCTTAATTCAAACCAACAATACCTGATGAAACACAGTTTGGAGACAGACTCAGGATTACTCCTTGTGAAAGATGTTGTAGTGCATGATCCCCCGTTGATCATCAGTCATGTAGTGTAAAAACCAAAACTACAAAACCTCTGATTACAAGACAGATAGTTGTGTAGTGTGAACAGTGTAGAGATCTGACATCATTGAAAGTCGTGTAGTGTGACCAAGGCTTAAGGTGACTTGTAACAACGTGCATAATCTGGTACAGTACAATGATGTTCATTCTTAATCCCACCTACTAAAGCTCTGATTGGCTGGTTTGTTTTTCCACCCTTGGAAACATCCGTCAGTGAGCTCAACAGCAGACCTGTCTGAATCACTGAAAACATTAGAAATGTGAGCAGCAATTAGGTCTGGAAGACTCCCATTATTCACATATCATTATTTTATCATTCTCATTATTCCCTCATTCATGCACTGTTGCATCCTCCTGCTTCGCTGTGCTGCTTCGACATTAAAAGCACACTAAACACTTACACTTCAGCAACTGACAACTGACTCGTGGTGTATCACGTTAGCACGTAAACGGTCACACGCTCACTGACCTGCATCAGCATAATATCTTTGCTAGATACAAGCTGGCCTCTTATTTACCAAATTGATTTTACTGCGTTTTTGTGCAGATTTATGTATAAAATGTTTTTGTCGTCATCCCAGTATGAATTGTATTATTGAACTGACATTACATTGTGTGTATCACCGGTCAGGCTATTATATGACTTATAAGAGCTATTTGAGGTCATGAAGTCGGAAACTACCCCCTTTTACTCATGGTTTTACTGTTAAGACGAGCGATTATGATCAATGACCTGCAGGGATACACACATGCTGTATACAGACATTCACATGCTCATATACTTGTGACTAGGTCTCCTTATGGAGCTAGTCTCACTAAAACCCATCTGCCATCTCTTCTTTCCTATCCAGGGGTTTAACTGTTAGCTTTAATACTGCTACACAGTATTTCATTGTAAAGAGATGTTTCAGTTCTATGGTTAATCGTCACCTGAATGATTGAAAGTGAAATAATTCCACAGAGATGAGAATTTTCCATTTCTGTGCGCTACCTGTTTACTTTCAGCCGTCGCTACAGAATCCGTTATTGGAGCATTTCTCAAACTTGTCATCCTTTCCTCAAATGACACCTGTCAGATGTGTTGCGAGCAATTACATTTCGGTTGGCTTATCAAACTATTACAGTAATGACAGGCTGCCTGTTGTGGTTGCAGCATGCAAGTCAAGACTCTGCTTCTTGGTATAGGTATTTGTCAGTTTGTGGTCTAACGAACTTCACACACTGGAGAGCCAAGCTAATAACGGACCATTTTTCTTAAAAAAAAAAAGGTTGAACTGCCTGCCCATCAAAGGAAAAAAAGACACTTCCAGGGCATAAGGAAATATTTTTATCGTGATGGCATCATCTAATATTAATATTTATGTGCCGTAGTATGTATAGAACTGTGTCTTGACATTGACAGTGAACTTTGGTCGAGCCAGCCTGTAGTGGTGTGCTTTGGTGTAGATAAGAACAGTCATTCTGAGGTAGGGCAGAGTGCCAGGAGGAGCAGCCCTGCCTGTAATTTATGCTTCCTTCCCCAACCGTCCTCACACCCCAACATGCACAGCCACACACAACGACCCGCGCTCTGCACGTGGTCCTCAATGGGTATATATCTCTAGTGGCAAAGGGTGACACAGGGTGAAGAGGCTGTCTCAGTCGTGGTGTACAGGCAAACGACAAATGAAGGAGTGGAAAAACATAATGAGGGAAGACGCTACCATACAGGGATGAAGGGGCCCTCAAATGGTTTCTTTGTGTATCATATGCTTTGTTCAAGCTTCATTTGATGACCATTTTGAGACTTTTTTCACAAAATTTATACGTAAAAATGTTTTCACATACATTATGACGGGCTAAAGGAGGGGAGGGTGAAAGGCTTTCCTGCTTTTCAGAACCAAGACCATTGATAATCTACTATGGTCATATGGGACTGTAAAGAAAACAGCTGAAAATGTTAGTCGATGTATGAATTGAATGACAAAAAATGTTGATAATATTTTCAAAATATAAATCCCCCCTCATTCCAGATTTAGCTGTTTCTTTGTCCTGTTGTACTGTATTGGTTGAACAAAATTTGTTGGCTTTAACTTCAGGAAATTGCACTTTTTTCACCATTCCCTGACCATAGACCAAACAATAAACCAATTAATGAAAAAAATATTGAGCAGATTAATCCATAATGAGATATAATCATTAGCTGTACCCGTACTGAGATGTAAAAGGCATGATGTGAAACGTGCCAGAATAAAGATTTAACATGTGCAAACAGTTTTCAGACCCCGAGGAGAACTTGGTTCCAAATTTTCGACATGGATGTTTACGAAGCCAGATATATAAACGTATGTCGGATTTGTATTATGAACTGGGAAAATACATTTCATTGAGATTTGCAGTTGTGAGTATAGACCTCACATGGGTACATTTGTGTGCACCATTACACTGTTTGAATAGTTTTAATAGGGTACAGATGGGGGGGTGGGGGGTAGGCTGCTAGCTATAGAGTTAATGTATACACAATCACGTTTGCACATAATACCTCAGTGAAGCCTTTGACTCACTGAATGGCAGTTGGATGTACTTTCTGCTATACTTAACATGTGTAAACACATCATGAACAGTGCATTTCATGGCTGTGTGGCCTTTTTTTAAAAACAATTTTAAACATACAAATGGCAAATAACCAAGAATCCACATAAAGTAGCAGCAACCTGTGTAATGTGTGTAGAAGAGGTCTCTCATTGTTCCATACAGTGTTCCTTTAAAAGCAAAAACAATCTGAGGTGTGCAATCCTACTTTGTCAGATAGCAGTGAGCTCAGAGTCTGTGTGTGTGTATGTTTGTGTGTTGTCTAGGTACTTCTCTCACCCTGACACAATAAGCTGTAAAAAGCTTTGGTGTGTTTTCACAATCTGGCACCTGTCCAACTTTGCCTTAAGGCGGAAGGCAAGGCAGAGCCCTTTGATGGCCATGAACAGAACCTACACACTCTCTCTCTCCCTCTCTCTATGTCTGTCTGTCTGTCTGTCTGTCTCTCTCTCTCTCTCCCTCTCTGCAGGTGATTAAGATGGCTTTTTAAAAGGCCACCTGTTAGAGATTAAAGGGCACCTGGGAGAAGCAGTGAAAGAAGGCAGGAGAAAGCAGCGTGATTGAGGGGAAAGTGCAGAACAAGAGGAGATGAGAAAACACTGTTTATTGGTTTGCAGTTTGGTTGAATCGGAGATTATAATCGTTGACAGCTCAGGTACAAGGAACCAGACATATCCCCGCTTGTGGTTTCATTGCCTTTGAGAAGCGTTGGTAGCTAAATTGAATGCCCTTTTCTGGAGATGAATGAGAACATCAGCTCAGAAATCTTGTCTGCACAGTTAGTCGTTTGATCAGCTAAATAAATTCACTGCCAACGATTTGATTGATCTTGCAAAAATCCCAAACATTTACTGGTTCCTTCATCTCAAATAGGAGACATTTTTGCTTTTAAATTGAATTTCTCTTAATTTTGGACTGTTGGCTGGTCAAAATAAGTAATCTGAAGATGTTACCTTGGAGTAAATTGGAAAAACCGTGGTCCGCTTTTATAAAGAAATAATGAAAATAAGTTGTTGCCCTATATTGCAGCCCCACTGAGCAGTGACAACCCCAATTCACCCTTTCACCTTATGCTGCAGGTCAGAAAAGTACCTATAAACATTTTTCTTATGACTCACAAAACTTCAAAGGTCCCCCCCCTGAAAAAAGCACCTTCCTCTCTACTTTCATCATAAAACATGCCTCTTGTAAAAAGAAGAAGAAGGAAAACCCCCCACTGTACTAGTGTACTGTACTGTAGTGAGAATAGTTAGGAAGTTGTCAAAGGAATTTGAGTAAATATCATGCAAGTCTGCATCTGCATGTCTGGGATAGTGTCGGGGTGAGTCATGGTTTGAGTGAATGGGGGAGAGAGCGCCTGCTTGTTGACATTTCTCCAATCGAAATGGTTGAATGTGTTGTGTTAATGGCCAGGGAGAGGCCCCACATCCGTGTTGACTTTCTCACAGTTTCGAACGCAATTGATAAATATCCGAGAGACGCCAATTTTCTGTGCACGTGTACTTGACACAAACGCACACGCCGATGTACTGTACATCCAAGTCGACGAATTTCACACCGACTCAGGCTTAAACACACGAGGAAGCCACACTCAAGACGACACACTCCATTTTTCTCTCTGTGTTTCCCACCCAGACAGATTGACGCTCTCACGTGCAAACATGCACACACACATTCCAGAGGTTGTCTCACTGGAATGAGGGACACAGAGCTGTGTTGGCACTAAAGGAAGCGTGACTCAGCTGCCTGTCCCAACCCAGTCTCAGTCCTCCTTTCACCGCCACCGGTTTGTGCGCATATGTATGTGCATATGTAAATCTCAGTGGGAAAACAATCCCTTTTTGCGCGTGTGTCATTTGTGCACCCTCATGTGCGTACTTGCTCGAGTGCGTCCAAGTGTGCTTTTGCACTCAACTGTTGACTGTGTGTGCATGCCAGTGGCCAGCTCTATGTGAATCCAGTTATCCCCCTCCAACAAACCAACAAACCACTCCAGGTTTAAAAATGGACCTCTTGGAATTATCAGCCCTACTTGTTTTGGCACGATGACTTTGCTGTAGGTGATTTTTTTTTTGTTTGTTTCTTTGGAAACAGTCAGAACTGGTTTGGTCTGATCTTAAATGGCTTTCAAACCTCAGCGTCTTGCGTTACCCAAAAAGACCTGCTTGTGTGTGGGTCTTTCATAGTCGAATGTTTAAAGGTTGAGAAACACATCCATTGGTTATGGATGCCAGATCTGAATAATTGAAACAAACTCTGTCAATTCCATTTCCGATCTAAATCATGTGACAGGGAGTTTGCTGTCACTGTAAAAATGCGCAAAATACCTCTGTGTGACTAATTTCCCGGTGTCTGAGTCTGTAGGAAAGTGTGGGTGTTGAGCTATGCAAAGCTTCCTGCAAGTGGGAAAACACAGGGAGCACATGGTGGTTGGACTGTTGACTTCAGTCAAGTGGGGTGCACTTGAACTGCACTCAGGCCTGGATACAGAATGCATACACGCATGCATACAAGCACACTATGTGACAATATCCTGCATTACATTGACATCTGCTGGTGACTGATCATCTTAAACAAGTAGAATAAAAACAAAAAGAAAGCGTTTCTTCCTCTCTCACCCTCTCATTTAATATAATAAGTTATGGAGTAAGACGTTTAGAAGAAAAATCTTATTTAGCCAAGAACTTATAGCACAGTTGCCTTCAGAAGAAAGTCCCCTTTCTGACAGCAGCACTTTCTCATTTCCTTTTAAAAGGAACTTCAGCAAGAAGGTCTAGTTCCCAAACTTCTTTCTCTGTTAGAATAATCTAACTTTTCTTTCACACGCTTCTCCCTCCCACTTTCCTACACACTTTCACACACAGAGAGAGCAAAAGCAGACACACGGCACACACACACACACACACACACACACACACACACACACACACACACACACACACACACACACACACACACACACACACACACACAGACGGACACACACACACACACACACACAGGATAAATAGGCTTCTTCTGTCCTGTGCGGCGGCCTGCAGGCTTGTGCTGATGATGACTACTGGAATTTGTGCCGGTGCCAGGGCAGGCATGGCCGCCCACGGGCATCCAAAGACGGCCCAAAGCCACAGGAAGTACCAGCAGCCCTGCTACCGCTCTCCTCCCTCCTTTCATCCCTGCCTCCCTCCCTCCCTCCCTCCCTCCCCTCTTCAGTGGTACTACCAACACTGCTTCACAATCCTGACAACATAAGATGGAGCTGCGAGTGTGTGGCTACTTCAAACGCTCACATCAGAGTCACACATTCCTCTTTGCCTTGAGCCAATAGCTTATATCTTAGGGCTGCTCAGCTGCAGTGTACCATAGCACAGGGCTCGCATCGAAAGTAGGTCAATAAGAACATAATTAATGCTTTTCGCTTTTAACCTGAATTCATTTGAACCTCTTTGCGTCTATGTGGTTTTTGTGCAGCACAATATATGAAAACATCGGCGCACGTAAATGTTTAAGCAGAAGCAGTCGAACTAAACAGTGTTTATTTTCTCTTTCCCAGACCGCTATTTCAAGGGAAATCAGATGTTGACCAGCTGGGAAAGATTTTTGAGTAAGTATTATTGGCTGTGTTTCCTGTTACAGCTTCGGAGGTCCTCTATGTTATATTTTCTTGAGAATGAATGTACAACCTGGGAAAATGGAGGGTATCCAGACACTGGATTAAAGCTCTCAGCGCTTTGTGAACTTAAGTCCATTGCGCAGACTTATATAGAACAGGATGTGCACTACTTTTCTGTAATTAATGGAGACCCTCCTGGATTAGGTTATACTGCTCTGCTAGGGTGAATACCATTAGATACCTAGGATAATTCCATCAAAGATTTGAACTTGAGAAGCAGTGAATGCTGCCCATTGGTGATGGTGAAGGGGCTGATGACCATTTTCACCCCACAGTGGTGTTGGGGTACCTTCAGCAGAAGACTGGCCCCAGGAAGTGGCCCTACCACAGAGTGCCTTCACCCCCCGGCCCCCAAAACCAATAGAGAACTTGGTTCCAGACATGGACGAGCAAGGACGGGCCCTCTTAATGGTGGGTTTATATATCATAATATCGCAGTCATAGATAAATTGACCAATCTTTCTATCTAGTTTATCTCATCCCTCACCCTTTTCTCCTCTCTCCTTTGCAGCAATTCCTCGCCTTCAACCCCTCCAGGAGGATATCGGCCTTTGTTGCGCTGAGCCACCCCTACTTTCAAAGCGTGGACAGCCACAGTAGAAGTGTGTATGCGGCCCAGCCCATCCCCAGCAACAGGCCCACTATAGAGGAGAGAACTGCCTGACCGCCCTCCTCCACCCTTAAGCATCCCATACAGTGTCTTTAAAAAAGTATTCTGCATACCCCGCCTCAGTGTTGTTCATGTTTTTTTTATTGTTTACAGCATTAAATCAAAGTGTGTTGATTAAGCTTTTTTGACACTTATCCTCAGATAACTGTAACATGTCAAAGTAAAAATAAATCTGTAGAAGTAGATGTAATTTCAGTACAAATATAGTATTTACCACATCCAGTCAATATTTTGTAGGGGCACCTGTGGCATCATTTACCGCCTTGAGTCTATGTGGTTAAAACTGCATCAGCTTAGCATGTTTGGATCACATTGCTGCAGCATTATGCTACCATCATCAGGCATTGCATACTATTAAGCTTGTTGGTCAAAAAGCTTGATTTTAGTGTCCTCCTACCATGGAGCCTTCTTTGGCTCCCACATGGCTTTGGGCAAATGCAAGCTGAAATGTCATGAGATCTTTAAACAGTGGCGTTCTCTTTGCCAGTTAGCGATGAAGCTAGAAATGCACCCAGGCAGCAGTAGCTGTGGGCTCAGTTAGGGAACCGGGTACCTCCTTCATTGTCCATAGACTCTTAATGGCTCTTAATGGCCTTCCTTTCCTTGATTTCCTTGTCATGCCCGGCTCTAGACAGACTCCATAACTCCATGCCAGGTGCCTTCAGATTTTACCGGTATCCTTCCACTGATTGGTACTTTTCATTAACCTTGTTGTAGATTGATTTCATGTTTCTGTTTTCATAGTGTAGGTTAAGCCATCTGTAGGACCCTGCAGATGTCGGTACATTTAGCTTTCAATCGCATCTTGACACAGGTGATCGCCATTCTATGCATTATTCTAACAGGCTGCACTAGTGATAAATGAAGGGTGTCATAGTTAAGAGGGGTGACTCTTAGGTTGTCATTTCAATCCATTTGTTTTCTCTTTGACTTTAAAGAGACATTTTTCTGACGATCAAGTGTCAAAAAAGCTTCAACAACTGCGATTCCGTGTTGTACGTAAAAACAAAAACATGAAACAGACCCATGGGGTTTTTTTTTAACGTTTTATGGCCATTGTACAAAACTCCAATAAAGTACTCCTAAAGAGAGGGTAAAGATAGTGTCAAGACAGACGACACCAACGTTCTCGCCCCCCTGAAAAATGCACAAAAGCTATCCTTCCTTCCATGAACTGATGGATTGTAATTGCTGCTTTTAGGTTGTTAAATGTTGACGATTGACTGATAACAATGCAAAAGAGACTTGCAACTCAGATTGAATGGTAGTAGGGGGAAGGCAGATTGCAGAGGCCTTTTTATGAGCCTCGCAAGAACCCCTCATTACTTTGGGGTGGACCAGACCCTACAGGAGCTTGGATGGACAGCATGGACCTCACCTGCCCTTTTGTGCTCACTGTGGGTGTGTGCAGTGAGCAGATACACAGTACAAGCACGCTCACAGATATGTACAACATTTAGTGTGTGCACTACCACTGACATTTAGCCACGCTCATGTACACACCTACTTATTGAAACATTACTAGGCATCACAAGCCAGCCACTCACTGCCATGTTGTGACTTATCATTCCAGTTCTATGTGTATTATATTACTGCCACCTTGAGGATGTCCTGAGTAACTGCAGACCAGTAGCGGGATTCTAATGGTTTCTGCACTCTTCAAGGAACTCATCATAATGGGCTGATATCAGTGCTGAGACAATGATGAAAGAAATGTTCCTGCCACTCATTTTATGACTTGCTTCTAGTCTACCATCATGGGCTTTTTATCATTATAAGATACAATTATTATTTACTATCCAAATGACACAGTAATGCACAGGCTTGCAATAGGTGGAGGAAGTTCCACCAGCACTAGTCAACATGAATACGTTTGGCGCAGAATAGTGTGGCCAATATTCTGTATTTAAGTTTAATTTTATTGACAAGTCTTATATGCTTGTTTTCATCAAGTTGTTACTTGATTTTTTTTTTTTTTTTTAAGATGCTGGGACATATAATATTCTTACACCAATTACACCAACTCTTTAGATCATTTTAGAATTTGTGTAAGAATAGTTTGACAATGTAAGGAATGTATAAAGGATAGGCATTGGTACTGTACAGTATAGAGTGCTAAGTACAAGCTGTAATGATAGAAAACCTTTGATATGTGCATCGTCAGCCCATAGATACGTCGTAAAAATGGATAGATGTAGAGTTAGCGAGGGTCAGCGGAATGTTGTATGGCAAGAGTACTTTGTCTATTGAAAATGTTCGGTGGGCTCTGTGGGTGCTTGTTGAATTTCATTTGCTTTGAATTGAGAGTGACTACGAATTTTTTTCCAGTGGTTTTGATAACGAAATAATGCACAAATATTTTGTGTACAGTTTTTGCTTTATTTTACGGTCATGTCTCTTTGTATTCAAGTTCAGTTTTTACCAGCAAGGAAAAGGCAAGTTATACAGAGTTGTATTTTTGTATGTAGTAGTTCTTGCAGAACAGTAACACATTTTAACACTGGTTTACGTTTTCTTAACAGGTAGTGCTGCTAGCACACACACAAACACAAACAAACACACTCTCTGACTTTCTCAGGTTCTTGTTATGGATGTCCGAACCATTCGGGCACAGTTTGCACATCCCTGGGCTACTAACTGACCACATCACAACTCCTTCAGGTTTTCTTTCAAGCTGTTCCACGATCATGTCATTGATCATAGTCTACTGTCATTCCTATTTATCAAATGTATGTTACTGTAGTTATTACTGTCTAAAGATAAACTGCCTCTATGAACTGTTTTTTGCCAGCAACCTTTAATAGCTAGATGGCGATTGTCTGCTCGATTAAGCACTGTGTGAATTTTCAAATGGATAATGACTCATATCTGGTGTCAGTGGTGCATACAATGCAATGAAAGCTCCAAATACTTTAGGCATAGAGGTTTACAATTTAAAATGACGACTGCTTTAGTCACATTACACTTGATACAATCACTGTACGCTTTTTCATGAGTTCACCAGTTTGTAATACATTTCAATCTCATAACATAGAACTGAAGTCCACTGTTGAGCTTTTAGAAGTTTCACTGTTTAAAAAAAAACAATAAAAAAACATTGTAGCTTGATCCATCATATAACTCAAATTACACACATGTTCCTGTGTCATTTGTTTTTAGCAACACAATCATGGCATTATACTTACGTATGAATGCTGGCATTGGTGTCCTATTATTGTGTTGCACCAGTTGAATAAAAAGCAGCTTTTTTGTGAATTTCGGTTTGGACTCATTTATGAGTGTGATTGACAAATTAATGAATCATTCCAGTGAATGTGTAGGTTTTAATTTTTGGAATGAGGGAACTTTAGATGCAATACAATTGCTGTTGTAATTTGTTATAATACTTGCATTCTGCCACACAGTCTTGTCTCAACGATATGCTTCTATTTCATACCAGCAAGAGAACAATTCTTTTTTTGTTTAAATAAATCAATATTTTTTGTATTACTGAATTTGTGTTATTAGTCTGTTTCATTATAAATAAACCAGTTTCTCTGAATTTGTAATGGAGCATTTAAAACATGGCCTACTGGGCTAATCTTCAAGGACATGGTGGATCAGACTCTACATAGGCCGTTTTACAGGAGTGTTGGGAGCATAATGAGTCCAGGTTTTACAGTTTTGGGTGGATCGGGAACGCTAAGGCACCAAATGTAGGCCTAGGTAATCTAAAACTAAGCCCCATTGTTCTATCATCAACAATAGCTCCTTGGAGATTGATCATGCCATTCATAGATACAAGTCTGCAGCAAAAACTAAAAGAGAAACCTAAACTGGTATACCAATGAGGAGAGTGGTACAAAATTATATTGACAACATAATCAAGACATATCCATATATACAGATGATTCAAAAGATCCAAAAACAGGCCATACAGGTTCTCCGTTCTTCATCCTGTATTGTGACATAGCGAGTATCAGAACATCTGTCAGTATACACAGCCAAATTAATAGGAATACTGTTCATAATAGAGTGGGCGGAAGAAAACAATTTAATAGAATTATTGCTTCTCATAGCTTATCAGCATTTCCGAGCATCAAATCAGGGAAGTCATCATGCAGCCAGGATATAGTTTATGAGGTTCATCACATACTATATGGGCTACATAATAGGGGATTGGATGTTTCCTTCTTTTGGGTTCCTACTCCTGTAGGAGTGAAAGGAAATGAGAAGGTAGATGTATTGGTCAAACAATAAAACAACAGCAAGTTGACATACAAGTACAATTAAATAAAGTAGAAGTTAAAAGGATCATAAAGGATCATATATGCAAAACTTGGCAGGAATACTGGGACTTATGTGACACTGGAAGACATCTTTACAATATACAAAACAGGCAGGACTATGCACTCATTGTAATTAACTGTAAGAAGAATCTACTCATGGAGAGTACATAATCGATTAATTCATTATTTGAAAAAGTAATTAAAAAAAGGAATAACAGAGAGAATTTAGTTTGTTTCATTAATTAATTTATTTTCTTGTTAATCTACTGCTCCACCCTCCAGTCCAGCAGGTGGCGGTAATGCACCTACAAGCTGGTTTGCCAGCCGCCATTAAGACCCGAAGAAGAAGCAGAAGCAGGGTCTCAATGTCCACCGGTTGGCGGCGGTAATACGCCCTCCCGTTGTTTGTCAAAAACATCACGAAGAAGAGTTTCCATTAACAGCCTGATGTGGCTAGGTCAATGTTAGCTAGGTAACAGCAATGGTTGTTCTCTCTGTTGGATATTTCCCCCCTTACTAACTCGACATGGGCAAGAGAGACAACAGAGTGGTGAGTGGTGTTACAAAATGTGTGTTAATGAGCGAAACGTACATGTTTCCTTTTGGAAGGCTTGCTAGGCGAGCTTAGCGTTAGCGCAACAGCTAGCATAGGCTATCTGCCCCCGTTATGTATTCCTCATGCTAAGTGGGCCCAGAGACAGATGTCACTGAAATAACATGGAAATGCAGCTAACAATACAAAATAATGTCGTTTTATTTGCGTTGGTCGTTTTGTAGGTTTGAATTGATTGGTGTATCTCCATCATGTTGTAGCTAATGTTAAAAGGCGAGTCTCTGCCTGCTAGTGGAGCTGCGCACAGCTGCTAATGCTAACTTTAGCCAGCTCATCACATTTTGCACAATGTTTTGACGTGGTGTTGTTGCGCAGTGTTTTTGTTGTTGTTGCTTTTCGATGGTATTTATAGCCTTGACACAGTTGCACTGACCTGTATGATGGGCCTTCCGTTTTACCAGCGTTTTTGTTTTCGGTTAGCGAATTGCTAATGTCAAGTTAACCATTTAATCACTGGTGCACATATTTTCTCTTGCTGACGTTGCATGTGTCCTCTGTAGATTTACTCTGTTAATGTGTACGTGCAGTGTTATTCAGTGTATCATTGGGTACACATAACTAAACACTGTAAATAATTGTTGCTGTCTAATCTAACGACCCTGCAACCAATCCTTTCTTAATCCTATCCTATGGCATAAATGTGTAATCTCAGTCCCTAATAGTCTGACATCTGTGTATTTCATTAACCTCCATTTGAAATGTGTATAATAATAATAATAATAATAATAATAATGCTTTCCTCTGTTTGGTTTTGCAGGCTTACATTAACCCCATTGCTGCTGCACGAGCCAGGGGACCGGCACAGAACTCCGGGCCATCCATACAAGATTATTTAAGCAGACCCCGACCAACATGGTGAGTAAAGGACGGACCTCCTCGTGTCACCCTGACATACAGATCTTGCCTCTTTGTGACAAAGACAGACACGTTTACTCACAGCTGCATTCTTCTGTTATTTCTGTCTGTACTCTATCATTCATTCTATGCTATTTAGATAAACAGGACTTGCTTTCAGGGCAATGTAAAGCATTTCGTAAACAAGTGCTATACAAAATAAAGTTATTATTATTGTTGTTTTTGTCTAGTTTGATGTAATAACACTTGTCCTCATTAGCTCAGTTCCTGATACTCAGTGCATCCTTACGTTTTCTTTTCATTCACTGCACCATTGGATCAGTTATAATTGAAGCAGCCTCATCATCTAACCCTTTTACTTGTGTATTTATATTAATTGGTCCCATTGATCGTACAGTTTAAGTTTTCTGATCTTTTCCTCCCACTATGTTATTTTTCTTCAACATAATTTAGTTGAAATGAAATGAACACCAATCTTTGCCACAGGCGGGGCCATTTAATTATCTGCTACACTCCACTGCCAGCATCCAATTTCCCTTTTGCAATATCCCAATGTGTTTTCAATGCGATATTAAAATAGTAAAGGGGACATCAGTGTCTGTTAGTTATATGTAGGAATTATAGTTAATTATAACTGTTTAGAAAACAGAATAATCTTAATTCATTAAACAAATGTTAGAAAGTTCTGTTCAGTTTGTGTAGATGTGATCCTCTTAAATGTCTATTGTGTATTCAAACTGATTTATTGTCTCTTCAACAGGGAAGAGTTAAAGGAGCAGCTGGAGAAGAAGAAGAAGGGCTCTCGAGCCCTCGCCGACTTTGAGGACAAAATGAACGTTGTATGTTTGTGTTGTGTAGACTGACATTATGACCTTGAACGCTCACCAACTGTTTCTTCACATTCATTTCAATTCCAGCTATGATGACTTGATACTTTTTTTGTTGTTTTTAGAAATGGAGGAAAGAACTGGCGAAAAACCGAGAAAAGCTGTTGGCTGGAAGTGACAAAGAGAAAGACAAAAAGACAACAGACAAGGAAAAGGAGGAGAAGAAAGAGAAAAAAGAGGTATGGTGTACCTCCTGTATTAGACATTTCAATGCTCTCACTCTTAAAATTCACCTTTACTCACTTTGGCGTTTTGTCTGTGTTTTAGAAAAAGAAGAAAGAGAAGAAGAAATCCAACAGGGTGAGGAGAGACCTCCAGTATTCTGATGGCCAGCTGTGCCACAGTACTGCTACACACACACACACACACACACACACACACACACACACACACACACACACACACACACACACACACACACATCCTGTCCTCTGAGACGGTCTCTTATTTAATGTTGTGTAGTAGTTTCCAAACAAGCGAATAACCTCAAGTCTAATGAACCCTGCTTTCATTGTGTTTTGGTCAAGCATTCTTCATCTTCCTCCTCCTCATCGAGTTCTGATTCCTCCAGCAGCTCCTCCTCAGAATCTGAAGACGAAGTAAGTCATTACAGACTCCAGCGTGTGATAGTAGATATTGCCAACCACTAAATCAATCCAGAAAACATTTTATGACCTTTTAATCCAAACAGCTGCAATTTACAAGCACGGTGCTCCTGAAATAGAGACAACGAGCCAAAGCTGCTCTGCTTGATGATGCACAACGTTAATAATTATAAACGTGGGCTGCGGGTTGCTCATGATACTGTTACAAGTTGATTCTAGGAATAGGTTCCTGCTTTTTGTAATCAGATTTAGTAAAAATGGGGATTATTAGCAGGATAATAATTTCAAACTACATCAGTTTTTCTTTCACTGAGCAGACAACACATTTTTTACGCTAAAAATCTGGGTTTCCATTTTCTTTTCAAAGATTACATTGTTATATTGTCTTATAGAATACACTTGCATAAATAGTACTCATTGTTATTTATTTTCTCTTGTTTTTATTTGCATTTGCACTTGGATTTTGTTACTGACAACATTTTTTTTTTTTAACAAATTAGTAACTGTATCTGATTTGTAAAGTAACCCTCCGAACCCTGCTGTTTTTAATAAAGAGCAGTGGGGCTGTTTTGATAGTCTGGAGAGAATCTGTACACAGTTGATAACCGATCAAAACAAAACTCGTCTCCACTAGAAACTCTACAAATCATCTTAGCAACTCTATAAAATTGCTTTACGCATAGTGCAGCACTACATTCATTGCATTTCTGTTTGTGTGTGCAGGATGAAAAGAAGAGTGTGAAGAAAAAACGTAAGAGAAAGAAGTCATCGGCCAGGAGGGCATCAGACAGTTCAGAGGAAGAATCTGATTCTGAAATCAAGGTTTTTCCTTCTTTTTATAGCACAGTTGGTTTCCTTTGTGTCTCTACACTTCAGTAGAATCGGGTTGTTGTGTTGAAAATGTGCAGTCAAACACCTGCCCTATAATAGTTTTTAAAATGCCAGCATTTAATCTAAATGTTGTTTTTCTTCCCAAGAAGAAAAAGAAAAGAATCAAGGAAGAAGGGGAAAAAGATAAGGTATAGTTACTCTTAGTGAGTGTGTGTGTGTGTGCGTGTGTGTATTACCACAGACGTTTGATACTTTCATATATTGCATTTCCTGTCCCTTGTTCTTGCCAGTCAAATTGAGTCTAACTGCCTGTTATAAAATATAATTGTGATGTAACTCTTGGGTTTTTCAGGATGACAAGAGCCGTAAAAGGAAGAGGAAGGCCGAGCGAAGTTATAAAGACTCATCTTCAGAGTCCTCTGTGGACTCTGAGGG